AGAGGGGGGGGGGGTGGAAATGTTTGACAATTGTTTACAAGGGGAGGGTTAGATTAATTGACGTTACTACATTATTTTAATAAATTTAATGAGTGTAAATTAAAGTAGTTATATAATTTTCAGTTATATAAAATGGGGGGGGGGTAGAAATGTTGACATAATTACTGGGGGGGGGGGTCATGAAATTTTGACAGTTGTTGCCAGGGGGGAAGGGGGTCAAAATTGCTTAAAATTGTTGAAGTAATTGATGGCCGCCCCCTTTCCAAAACTTTAAAGAGAGTTGTTGTTAAATAATTACAGGCTCATTTGATTTTAAAGTAGTTATACGTATTAAAAATTTATTTAGTGAACTGAACAAAAAAATAATTGTGTTAAGTGTATTTTAATTGATTATAATATTCATAATATGCATTAAACCAATGTTAATGTTGTTAGATGAGGTAAATAATTTTTTTAAATGTTAATGCATTAAATTATTATTTCAAAATGGGGAAAATCTACCTTAATAATTAAACTAAATTTCACACTAAGAGCATCTAATTAATGCTGCAGCACTGGACTAGCCGATCATTTATCTTGTAGCCTACATCATGGAGAACCTGGATAATCGTCTTCTTTCCTCCAATGGTGACCAGCCCAGTGCTTCCAGCATGCTGCCAACACTAAAGGTGTTCCTGTAGCGGTTCAGGTCAAAGCGTGCTGCCTCCAACCTGTCGATGTTGCTCTGGGTGAATGGGTCCCAGACTGAAGACGCATAATCTATAAGCGGCCGGAAAGAGGCCTTATAGCAGGGGGTCTCAAACTCGCGGCCCGCCCCTGCCTACTGTCTGAACACGTTTTAGCATTGAAAGCCTTCATGAAGAAGGATGGAGTGGTTGTTCCTGTACTAAGTGATCCCAAACGGCTCATGGACTTCGCTTTTCTGGTTGACATTACACAGGAGCTGAATGTACTCAACAAGAAGTTACAAGACCAGGGGTGGCTTTTCAGTGTTACCAATGACAATGTCAGGGCATTCTGCACAAAACTTATGTTATGATTATTAGAGAAACCTCTGCAATTTCCTAACATGCAAAGCAGTCATGGACTCGAGCACACCCTTCAGTAGTAAGTATACTGATCCCATTGCAAAGCTACAGGAAGAATTTTATGCTTTTAGACTTCACTTCAAAACAAACAGAGCGACTTTTCAACTTTTTGCTGACAATTTCTCCTTTAATTTGTAAGATGCAACGCCCCCCCCCCCCACCCCCACACGCCTACTTGCGTTCCAAATGGAGCTAATTTATCTTCAGTGAAATTCTAAGTTCAGGGAGGTGAACAGAAAAACAGACAAGCATGGACAATTTATGAGAACATTGCTCTCCACTTTCCTAACATGCAAAGCAGTCATGGACTCGAGCACACCCTTCAGTAGTAAGTATACTGATCCCATTGCAAAGCTACAGGAAGAATTTTTTGCTTTTAGACTTCACTTCAAAACAAACAGAGCGACTTTTCAACTTTTTGCTGACAATTTCTCCTTTAATTTGTAAGATGCAACGCCCCCCCCCCCACACACACACGCCTACTTGCGTTCCAAATGGAGCTAATTTATCTTCAGTGAAATTCTAAGTTCAGGGAGGTGAACAGAAAAACAGACAAGCATGGACAATTTATGAGAACATTGCTCTCCACCTTCCCTGAGATTTCCAGGTTTTTGTGCCTTTTGTTGGAGTACCTATCTGTGTGTAGAGCTCTTTTCCACTATGAACTTTAACAAGTCAAAGTTCAGGGCCAAACGTACTGATGAGCATCGTCGAGCTGTACTGCGGGTCTCACGGAGATGCCACGCCAGCTTGACGCTACGAAGTACTCTTGCTATGATGTGCCCAGAGGCAGCAATGTTTTTCTTCTAACCATCAGGTTTCGCATCGCCTGACTCCCTTGTCCAAGGAGTCATTCGGCCTTGGGTGTAGATCGACAGCTATTTTCTATCTTCGGTTTGTGACCAACACTGGGCCCTGTTAGTACTAGTCGGGTGACCCACTGATCATGTAGGGCTGTATCGTCAAAACTGAGGTGCGAAGATTTGACCACAAACGGACAGAGGAACGTAAAGAATAAAATATAACAACTTCTTCAAGTAATAAAATAGATTTATTTCTGTGCTGAGATAATCAATTTGATGGATATCAATAATTTAAAGAATTAAAAGTCAACATGATTGAGCACAGGGCACTGTACACATTTGATTCAATAAAATGTTTAGGTGAAAATCTTGCATATTTTATATGGGATAACTTCTCATTCATGACCTAACACGCATGGTCACACATTACCCATACCATTTATTTATGACCATGTCATAGATTGCGTGAACAATTTTTTTTTTATTTTCAATAATTTCATGTTTTACTGACATGTCATTTATTATTACCATTTCATATATGACATGTTAAATTTTTATTTTGTGATGTTCTAGAATGTCATGTGTTACATGGAATTTATAAATTACGACATTTATAACTACAATGACACATATTACATGTAATTTATGATTTACCAAGTAAAGTGATGTCATTTATAAATTTTTATGTCATGTATTTATAAATTACCATGTCATGTGTTAAATGTCATTCATAAATTACTATGTCATATAGTACATGTCATGTATAAGTTACCATGTTATTTATAAATTACCACTCCATGTATTACA